GGGTGACGGGTTCGATCCCAGCTGCGGGCCATGCGCCTTGCGTTGGTTTTCACACGGTATCAGGGGGCCGACCGTCCAGGGCCATTGGCAAACTACTGGACGTAAATTTGCCTAGAGAAACCACACAACAGCCAGGGGCTGCTGGGGTTGGTTCTGTAAAGGATACGCAACTTACCTTATCCCTGAGTATCGCCTAGATCTCCTCGTTACTTCCTCCTGCACGATTCTCTTTAGACCGTCGTGATAAATTTATTCCTCGCGCTGTTTTCTCGTTCTGACCATATCTAGCCTGACAGGCAGCAATTTACCACCGAGTGGTGGCTAGTAGTTACTCTATCTGCCTGTTATTTTCCCAACACACCTGCATGACCTGGACGAGTTCTCCAAAGGACGCTAACTACCCAGGACCTATGAAGCAATGCTGGCAGGGAGCACACACCTCACTTTTGGGTGCTTTATTAACATCTTACCCCAAACAGGGGAAATTACAGGTCACGGGAGAGTCTAATATTTCAGGTTGTGGTAAATAGGCTGCATGCAATAGTGGGACCCAGGCTGCATGCAGTAGTGGGACCTGGGCTACACTCTCTCGTAGGACGTAGGTGAGTTGGGATTAGGTCTAGTTCTAGATGTTTTGGAATCGTTAGAAGCATCAGAAAGCCAGGAAACTCAGTTTTACCACCCTCTAAAATGTTGGACCGTCCTGTGACGTCATCTAGAATAGGATATTATTAAAGAACCCACTTTTGTGATGTTATTTTAGCTGCCAGATCAGAACATCTGGATTATTTGTATTTACTGTCCAAGGAATTTTAAGCATTTTAACATAAAACCAAATGTCTAAGGCCTCGAGAAATTGTTTGAAACAAATATGTTGAATTAGCAATCGACATTACAGCACTCGGACACCCTCCATAAGCGCTCCATCCCCATCTTCAGCAGCACGCGAATTCCAATTCCCTTGGCACCAGTAGTTCCCTCATTGAATATCCGTCTATTTTTTCTCTTGAGTGTTGAGCGTCGGGCAGATCCCCTAGTAACTTCTCGCAGGGCCATTCTCCTCAGACCGTAATGATCTGTTTGTGCCTCCGCACTGTTCATTCACTCCTGAAGGACCCCTACAACATCTAGCTTGTCAAACATCAATTCATCACCAAGTGGTGCAGAACCAGCCAGTCTATCTGCCTGCTCATTGCCCAAAACACCGGCGTGATTCAGGAGCAAATATCCAACGAACGCTAACTACCCGGGATCTCTGAATTGATGCTTGCCACTCTGTAACCTGTATTTAGATTTGTGCACAGGCGACTTAGTATGCAGAGTTTTCCTTACAGTCTCCGCATCCTGTCCTGGCAAATACATAAAAGTCATTCTTTGGAAATAGCCGATTTCTTTGTGGGATTATATTAGTTTGTTTTTGTAGTCGGCGTCTGTGGCTTAGGCGTTGCGAACGCGCCTAGTAATGCCAAGGTGCCGGGTTCCATCCCAGCTGTGGACGGTTTGTCTTGCGTTGGTTTAACCGTTTAGATATCAGTGCCAAACTACTGAACGTAAACTATGCCTAGAAAAACCATAACAGCCACACACACACACACAAAATGCTGAGGTTGGTTCTGCAACGTCCTGTAAAGAATACGCAACTAACTTTTTTTTGTAACAGCTGGGCAAAGAGTGGACATCACAACATTCAGTACAATCCCGTATTAGCTCCGTTTCTATCCTCAGCAATTAGCGAAGTCTCCAAACGGAGGTTTCCATTGTCATCTGCTCGGTTTTGCCTTTCTCAAAGTCTCGTATTGTCTGTTCTTCTGCGAGTGTCCAACACCACGTGTGAAATGTATTTATTTTTTTACTTTTTACTAATCATTCAGTCTTAGGAGGTTCCGTGTAAAGTTGTTGATCCCCAGTTTAGGATGGCAAGAGAATTTACACAGAAGAAGTGCCCCCTAACAAGCATGTCGTAAAAGGCGACTAATTAGGGGTTTGCTTTAATAGAATGCAATGGGCGGAAAGGCGCAGATATCAAAGAGGACCTTATATGACAACACAGCGTGTCAAAAAAAAAAAACCTTTAGGGGCGAACAAAGAAGAAGAGAAAGAAGACGCAGTAGTAGTAGTACAAGCAGCAGTGGAAAAAGAAGAAGAAGAAGAAGAAGAAGAAGAAGAAGAAGAAGAAGAAGAAGAAGAAGAAGAAGAAGAAGAAGAAGAAGAAGAAGAAGAAGAAGAAGAAGAAGAAGAAGAAGAAGAAGAAAAGAAGGAGGAGAAGAAGAACAGAGGAATAAAAGAAGAAGAAGAAGAAAGAAGAAGGAGAAGAAGAAGAAGAGGAAGAAGAAGAAGAAGAAGAAGAAGAAGAAGAAGAAGAAGAAGAAGAAGAAGAAGAAGAAGAAGAAGAAGAAGAAGAAGAAGAAGAAGAAAAAGAAAGAAAAAAAGAAGAAGAAGAAGAAGAAGAAGAAGAAGAAGAAGAAGAAGAAGAAGAAGAAGAAGAAGAAGAAGAAGAAGAAGAAGAAGAAGAAGAAGAAGAAGAAGAAGAAGAAGAAGAAGAAGAAGAAGAAGAAGAAAGAAAAAGAGGAAGAAGAAGAAGAAGAAGAAGAAGAAGAAGAAGAAGAAGAAGAAGAAGAAGAAGAAGAAGAAGAAGAAGAAGAAGAAGAAGAAGAAGAAGAAGAAGAAGAAGAAGAAGAAGAAGAAGAAGAAGAAAAGAGAAGAAGAAAAAAAAAGAAGAAGAAGGATGATAATATGATTCTGGTGATAACTAGTTTGGTATGACCAATCAAGAAATATCAGAAAAACACAAGTTTTAAATAAAATACTCACATCAAATAATTGTTGCTTTTTTCAAACTTTCCTACATAAACAGCGATATAACTATCATTCACAAACGGACCCCCTAAACGTTGAAACCAACCATAACGTATGGTGGCTTCTTAGCTGCTCTAATGTGTGCTGCAGCTCCTAATTATCTCGCAAAGATAACATTTCAATGTTTAACCCGCGTGGCTCTGCTGATAAGAGCATTTTTTTTTTTTTTAATTATGGTTTTTATTGTTTGTGACGTGTCGAGTTTGGCATACGAACTGATAGATGCTGCAGGAGATCACAGATTATGGAGAGGCATGAACGCCCACGCCAGTCGGCAAGGCACCTGATGATGATGACGATGACATGTCGAGGCCACAGTGAAGTATTGCTTCGAATCATCACGTTAGGGGGCAAGAAGGGGGGGGGGGGATGTTGGTTACCTACGGAGTTAATGGTCATCATTGAAATTGTTACTGGACGTAAACTTTCTAAGCAAAACCACAACAGTCATACACTCACACACACATACACACATACACACACATTTACACACATACATACACACACACATACATACACACACAAACACATACACACACAAATAAACACACACACACACACATATATACACACACATACACACACAAATGATGGGGGTTGGTTCTGCAACGTCCTGTGAAGGATATGCGCATCTTACTTTAACACTGAAATTGTAATACAGGTGTGTGTGTGTATGTTATGGACAGATGAAGAGAGTAAGGGATCACTTTCATTTCAGAAGGATTCCTACACACATATATGTGCGCGCGGAGAGTTTCAACACAGTACACGATCTTCGTTGCATTTGCAAGAACCAGAACCTCCCCCATCTGCCCTTCACTTCTATCGTGCACAGACTCTCAGCCAACTCACGTCAAGTCTGCATATCCTTGATTCCACATGCTAAGACTTGATTGGTTTTAGAGATTTTGGTGTTCCACGGAATAAGATAACAAATTAGCCTTGTTCTTAATCACCTCTTACGATCTGTCTTGTCAATTTCAATGTTACTGTACTTAAAAGTTTAAAAAAAAAATCTATAGGATATACATCATTGCACCAGCTTTTATCTAAAATGGCATAGTCTCTTTCCACAGATTGGCTAGCCGCCTTATAAAATCTTCGCAACATAGCACGAACTTCGTAGTGCCGGTGACAGTCCCCAGAGATCTATGTAAAAATTACACCCAAGAACCGAACGATACATCCGTGAAACCCTTAGACGCGACTTTTAGAGCGGAAGGCAAGCGACTTTACCGCGGAGACACCCGCTTCTTTTCTTCCCCTAATGGGCCAAGTAATAAACGGTCGATTAGCATCACATGGTATAAATATATGTTTTTCTAGTTTGCAAATTTAAAACGATATAAGAGGATTTATGAGATAGCGCATGGTTGGGGGAGTACATTAGAATAAATAGTTGCATCGAACTAAATGTAAAAAGGGAAAATATTATATGGCCTACAATTAGGGCTGAAAAGGTTTAAGCTGTATCTTTCACTTGTTCCAGTGAGGATAACAGTCAAGAATTCAATCTAGAGCTTTTGATATAAAGTGAGTACAATGTTACATTTATTTGGCTTCTCTGGCTTAATTTTGGTGGTTAGTTAGATGCGTATCCTTTACAGGACGTTGCAGAACCAACCCCAGTATTTTTTGGCTGTTGTGGTTTTTCCAGGCAAATTTTCGCCCAGTAGTTTGCCATTGCCTGCTAGACGGTCGGCTTTTCGATACCACCGTCGAAACCAACGCAAGGCCCGCAGCAGGGATCGAACCCCGGCATTAAGAAGTATTCTGGTGGTAGTTTGGCTTTAAATAAAGCTTTCTATCTGGCAACCCTGCTGCAAGCGAGAGCAAGTGGGTTCAAAGGTTAAATTTCCTAGTTCTGAGTCTTAATTCTTAATGGTTTATGCCAATTTTCTAATGCTAGCAACTGACAGAAGTTTATTTTTCCCGATATAAGACTACACGTTACACCTCACTGGTCTAACAATTACGGGTGCCCTAATTGTACTTTTTTTTAAGGTTAAACGGCTTATCTGGTAGCTACCTTGTTGGTCTGCTGCCCAGAGTGCGATTGTTTAAATCTCAACTTAAATGGTAAACTTTTCTTTGGTTGACTGGAGGAGACAAACCGATCTATCGATCTACCGCTGCTCTAAGCCATGGCTTCTTCGGCTAGACGCAAAGTTGCCGTGGTATGTTTTATTTTCATTAACAGATTATGAGGAGGCTTTCTTTAGCCGTTCGAAACTACTAACATACCTGTTATCCTGTTTTTTTTAGACTGAATCACTGAATGTTTTTTGTTGTTGCTTATGAGGCATACGAGAAGTAACAAACAGAGAATAGAGAATCACCAAAGCATTCACAAATTCATTATTATTATTATTTTTTTTTTCTATTTTAATACACAGCAACCATGAGTTATTAACCCTTTGGCTTGGTACTATAGATATCGAAACCCTGGGGCCCTAATTTCATGATAGGTACCTTAAATCCGTATGCTTTTCTGCCTATCCCCGGGAGTGAACCCGCACCACTCGTCCCCTGGTCGCCGCTCAGTCAGGTTTGGCCAAGTACGTTTAAAACAAAAGGAGGGTGTCAAAGAGAAACCTTGAGACGAAAGATGCTGAGATTGATCAAAGATGCTGGATTGGATTACATCCATCATATTGAAAAGATTGTGCATGATAGAACAGAATGGAAGAATAGATTGTGAGCCTTGTATGGCATATAAATGACACAACATGATGGTGATGACTACAGATTAAACATTACATGTAAATTATTATGGATCTTTCCTTCGAAATCAGAGTGCATCCATCTTAGAGGAACCGACCATCTGCACACAAATAAGCCATATCTGTAAAACAGATGTGCATGCAAAACTCACACACAAATAATGTCTGTAAGTAGTAAGACAACCAAAACTTGATTCTGAAGTTTACAGCTTGTAAACACGAAGAAGATGGAGATTATGCTTCTGACCGTCAGTGCAGTTGCTTTATTCAAAACAAAATACATGATCGCAAGTTTCAGCCTTGGTAATTTTGAATTCCTGTTAATGTTAAGGTAATTTGTTACTTATCGTGTTCTTACTGTAGTATTCAGCACTTCTTTCTATCAGTCTTGGATTCCCAATTAGTATCTATTTCACAATTATCACTTTTTATTACTTTTCTTTATCACATTCTTAGAACAGCTGATTTAATGTCATAAGATTTTTTTTAAACCTTTTAACTCTGCCACTGCTGTTAATAACACCACCACAGCTCTTAACAACAGCACTATCTCTGTTAGAATCACTTCCACTGCTGTTAATAACACCACCACAGCTTTTAACAACAGCACTATCTCTGTTAGAATCACTTCCACTGCTGTTAATAACACCACCACAGCTTTTAACAACAGCACTATCTCTGTTAGAATCACTTCCACTGCTGTTAATAACACCATCACAACTTTTAACAACAGCACTATCTCTGTTAGAATCACTTCCACTGCTGTTAATAACACCATCACAGCTTTTAACAACAGCACTATCTCTGTTAGAATCACTTCCACTGCTGTTAATAACACCATCACAGCTTTTAACAACAGCACTATCTCTGTTAGAATCACTTCCACTGCTGTTAATAATATTACCACAGCTTATAACAACAGCACTATCTCTGTTAGAATCACTTCCACTGCTGTTAATAATATTACCACAGCTTCTAATAACACCATCACACAAACTGCTTTTGTTAAAGTTGATGTTTTGATTATAAACAGTGATAATGATGAATATTCCCATTGTCTAATCTTCAAACATTTTTTTGCAGGTAACAGGAGCAAATAAAGGCATTGGTTTTGGCATAGTACGAGGACTGTGCAAACAGTTTCATGGAGACGTCCTGCTTACAGGTCAGTCAAATTTATGTGCTCCTCATGTGGATTCTGGGGCCCTATTATAGGGAAAACAAGAATAGACCCACTGCCTACCCGAGAACATGTTGCAAGAGTCGACCAATTAGGAGCTTCCTTTGAAGTAAGAGTACATCTGCCTGAGAGGCAGGGAACCAGCAGTCTGATTACAAATGAGTCAGATCTGTACCTCATTTCCAGATTGTATTCTGTATTTTATTTCTTCTCTCAGCATGTTGGAGCAGTTGAAGCTTGCACCCAAGTACTTATATGTTTCCTTTTATTTGATTTTCATATTATCGATTTCTATGTGGCCGGAGTATATATCCTTTCCCTGTCTAGTTATTATCATGTATTCTGTCTTATGTTTGATTGATAACTAGTCCCATTTTCTTTGCTGATTCTTTTAAAAGAGTCAGTGTTTTAACAGTCTCTGGTTCATTTTCTCCAACGACATCAATCTCATTTGACATAAAGCTAAATAGGATATTTATACTCCATGGTGTTGGTAGTCATGTCTGTCTGCAACCTTCTGTCTCAGGTACTTTCAGTAAATTTTGACACAGATAATCTTCCATGCCATGATGTCAAACTGTCCAACATTTTCTCTCAGTCTCTCTCTCTGATTTATTTCTTCTCCAACTTTCCCACCATGCTTAACTCTAGTTTTCTCCATCCAGTGACATGACCTAAAAATGTAGATTGTGTGCGTTTAATGTGGCCACTAATGTGATTAGTTTTCTTCATCATTTCTTTCAAGACTTCTTCATTACTACTTTTAGGTGTTCTGATCGTTTCTCTGTGTTCATACTTACAGCACGAAATGAAGATAGAGGAAGGAAAGCCGTTGAAAAATTGGAAAAGGAAGGTTTGCATCCAAAATTTCACCAGCTGGACATCACTGATCACCAGAGTGTTGTACGATTAGCAGAGTTTCTTCGGAAGAACTATTCAGGGTTGGATGTGTTGGTGAACAATGCAGCGATTGCTTATGAATTCAATGTAGGTATGATTATATGGTAGTGTAAATAGTATGATCCATACATATATTTGTATATATATTTTGATAAGGTTTTATGCACATATGTGCAGAGTTTTGTCCAGTATATGTTCACACATTTGTGTCAATATTAAAAAAAAAAAAGTTAAAAAACAAACAAAAACAAAATGGTTTGACTGTTATTGTATTATTATTATTATTATTATCATTATTATTAATATTACTGGCAGCGTCCATGGCTTAGGCGTTGAGAGCCATATGATGAAAAGTGCCTTTTTTTCTCTTATGTTTATTTTCTTCCGCAGTGTCCCTTTTATATGGATTGTTATATAATAATATGTGCTATTATAATTTATTTAATAATAATAATAGTAATAGTAGTAATAATAGTACTAGTGGTAGTATTAATAATTTGGTGGTAGTAGTAAACTTTCTGTCATCTTTCTTGTCCCTAGTCCAGTTCTGCATCTCAGCATTAGCTTTTGAAGAGGCATCTGCTACAAACCTGGAAGTGTCCTAAGTAGATGTTGGTATTCACAGCCTAAAATATTTCCATCTATCCATGGCTTGCATGGGCAGCCTGTAGCTCTGCTTCTATTGTGTTTTAGTGACAGAGCTCCTCTCTGTGGTGCATTATCTTGTTGTGGTCTTGACACATTTCTGAACCATCTGATCTGTTTGTTGTGTTTTTGCGCAATTTAGCACTGGTTCCATCCTAACTTGTTTCCTAATATTGTCATTTCTGTTTCTAAGCCTTCTTTAAATTACAGTAGTAATAGTAAAGTATAGATCCCTTTTTACATCTTTAGGCGCATCGGGCATATGGGAAGAGCACCCATATTTTTACAGGCCAATCGGCACTAGGTGGGTAATGTGGTCAGCATTACGCCGGCCGTCTATACTTCCCCAGGACATACATCCTGGTACCCATTTTAGCCTGGGTCAACCTGGATTTTTGATCATGATAAAAATCCACACAGCCAGCAGTGGATTTTCATCATGGTACATTGGAATTACGAGTCGGACTCACAACACCTTGGAACATTAGCCAGACTTGGAATTTAGTCTGCAGGTATTTGGACTAGGTTCTGTTGTGAAAAACAATTTATTTATCACCATCAGTTTTTTTTAAGCTTGAACTTTTATCTTGGTAAAAGGAATTTCTGATAAGAGAAACCATTTCTTGGGTGCATGTGAGTTCTCCATATCAGGTCTGCATTGTGAATACGTGTGTGTTTATATAATAATATTCTAACAACTGAGTCTTTGGATAACCAGAGAAAAGAACTCTGTAGATAGATAGACTAAGAAATCTGTTTGTAGATAGATAGAATATGAACCAGCCTATAGGTAAATAGACTAAGAACATAAGTTTGTGGATAGTCAGATTAGGAATATGGTATGTGGTTAGGTAGACGATGAATCCAGTATATGGTATGTGGTTAGGTGGACGATGAATCCAGTATATGGTATGTGGTTAGGTAGACGATGAATCCAATCTATAGATAACCATAGAATAGGGACCAAATCTTAGATAGTCAGACTAGTAACCCAAACTATTGATAGATTGTACCACAGAAAGGGGCTGTAAGATCTTGGTCGGGTTACTTCCTTTTTTCTCCATGGCTCACAAAAGAATCAATCAGTCAGTCAATCCTAACGATGCAATACATCCTTGGTTTGTCGACTGTTGCAGGTAGGCACAAGGTGCTGCTGGCAAAGTCATATCTCAGGGTAGCTGCAGACACACACCAACTTTTGCATGAAGCTCTGGGCGCAGTTAAGGGTCAGCGGCTGATTAGAGGGAAGTCATGGATGGCTCAGGCAGAAGACACAGTCAGACAGGTTTGCATCCTGGAGAACATTAGGCAAGGAGAGGAGTGGGTCAAAGTGCCAGCTGAACAGTCAGACTTGTGTAGGGTCATAATCACATTGAGCCGAGAATGCAGAGAGTGGCCAGCAGGTGCCACGGAGATGGAAATTCAGCAGTTATTCAAGATAATGCTCGCTCAAAGGATTTGATTATTTATACAGAGGGTTCAATGTCAAGAAGCAAAAGAAGTGCTTGGGGTTTCTTAACATAAGTTAATGTTCGACGTTTGGTGCAGGAGAGCCTAGCATATGATACCACAACATCCAGCTTAAAAATGGAAGTGGAGTCGGTCACTGCAGCTTTCAGCTGGTTAAAGAACATGACACACACACACACACATCGTTATTGTAACTGACTGAAACAGCGGGCTGAGGAAGGTCAGGATAGGCATGCTTCACTGCGGAGGACACGGGTGAAAAGTATTGTATGGGTTTTTTCTCAGGGATACAGCCGGTGTGTTGGGAAATAAACAGCGGGACAGACTGGCTAGCTCTGCACAACTTGGTGAAATACTGATGCTTGATAAGGCAGACGTGGTTAGGGCCTTCTGAGAGAGCGTGTACAGTTTGGAATAGCAAAGGATCACCACAGTCTGGTGAGATTGATGCAGCGGGGAGTGACGAGGGGTTCTGGCCAATGCTCAAGGCTCAGAGGAAAGGCAAGACAGACGGTTAATCAGAATGCTACTGGTACTATTAATATTGGAACTCTTCACTTGATGCTGAAAATGGAGACAGAGCGCTTATGGGAATGCCCTGAGTTCTGTGATGTTGGTTCTTGAATCAACTCAACTCATTCAATCAATCAGTCAGTCAGTCAATTATTCAGTCAATCAAGAACTGACATCACTGCGTTTGGGACATTCCAGTTCATGCTTCCTCCCCTTCTTCAATAGCCAATGAAGAGTCGACATTCTAAGAGTACCAGTTGCAACCTGATTAAAAGTCCACCTACCCCTCCCCTCCCCCCTTTCCCATCCCCCACCAATACTCAGTAATGAATGTCTTCCAGAACCTATACTCACCCACTGTTGAACCAGTCTTCATGTGTCTTCATAAAAGAAATCATATTGGACTTATCCATCATATTTTGGCCCACACCCTGTTACAAAATCTGTCATTTGTGTTGAAATGAATTCTGTCCGTATTCCATAGTCGTGGATTTCAAGCTGTGCGATAGACATGGCCAATAAGACACCATTTTTTGGGAGTGCCTAGTTGACCATGTATCTTAGTGCACTTGTATTCATGACGAGGCGCAGACGCCGTCTGGAGGTGACAGGTTCAATTCCCGGCACGGTAACTATAGCTTTAGATTTTTATGTTGTCTAGTGTGTTCTTCTATCTTTCTACTTCTTTCTATGAGTGCCGTTCACAATACTTTCTGTTACTTGATTAATCCTTTTTCTCCAGGATGTTCCTACTCCACCTTTCCCGGAAGAAGCCATGGAGGTTTGTCACGTCAATTATTTCTCTACATTGGATGTCTGCCAGGTGCTGTTTCCTTTACTGCAACCTCATGCAAGGTAAACTCAGCAGTTAATGGTGATACATTGAGCTTGATCTTAACTTGGTTTAACCATGACAGTTTTCAAGCAGCTGAGGGTCGATTCTACACCGTTATTCTTAACCTTAGTCGAGGTTTAAACTTCACTGCAGTGGGGTTTCCCTATACTTGCTCCCTTCCTGTGCCAGTGCATATCATATTACTGTCTCATTTGAAAAACTAGACACCCTAGAGAAGATACACCTAACAGAAGAATATAGCAGATGAAATTTATACATTCTAGAGAAGATGCACCTAACAGAAGAACATGGCAAGGAAATTTAGACATCCTGGCAGAAGAATACAACAGAGGAAATTTAGACATTCTAGAGAAGATGTACCTAGCAGAAGAATATGGCAGAGGAAATTTAGACATCCTAGAGAAGATGTACCTAACAGAAGAACATGGCAAGGAAATTTAGACATCCTGGCAGAAGAATACGGCAGAGGAAATTTAGACATCCTAGAGAAGATGTATGTAACAGAAGAATACGACAGAGGAAATTTAGACATCCTAGAGAAGATGTACCTAACAGAAGAATATGGCAGAGGAAATTTAGACATCTAAGTTTGATACTGAGCACCCAATAAACACATGGTGTGTCTCCTGATACTGAAAAAGTTAAAGAGCAAAGGATAAGATTTGGCCGCCTGATGAGAATGCCATAATACCGTCACAGACAGCCATGCTGAAAAAAAATATATGAACACAGAGCAGCTGGAAGATCACACAAAATATTGAATGAAGGCATCAATAACAGCCTTAAAGAAATTAAGGTCAGCTTATACAGTGCATTAGGGAAAAAAACAGAAAACCCTCACGTATCTCTCTAATACATTGATGAGGTAATTTAGAGAAGGAAAAGAAGAAGAGGTAGGTAGGTAGTTGTACCCCACCAGGACATCACACAAGCGATAAACATCCGGTAACACATAGAGCCACCATGCGGATGAGGATCACCCGTGGAGAGGTCCCAGAAGTCCCTTTTAGCTGTTAGGCCATATCTATGGCTAAGCCATATCTATGACCCGGCTATATTCAGGGCTCCCGGCAGAAACCAGGGTGGGGCTTCAAACAAAAAAATTGCCTCCCACATGGGACAACTGTCTATGTACAAATAAGAAGAAGAGGAATTACATAAGTCCTGAGACTGACTCTGCCTCCAAATGTGGGTACCAGACATTGTTCCCCCCTGGGATAAATAAAATAATGTGTAAGAAAACTAGTCACTTCAAGCCACAATTCTGAATTACTTTAATTTGACCCTTTTGTGATAGAGTAAATTACATTACTCAAGCACAGTGAATTACAGACTTTTGGTGAGCTGAAGAGAGTTGTGGAGAATAGTAGACAAGATTAGACAACTTCAGTGGCAGTCTCTGGACTAATTGAAAACAAGCGAAACAGCAGTGAAGCTCATGTTTTTTACTAAAACGCAAGGGTATTCCCCTTTTTTGAGCTGCCTAGTCATATTTTGTGTTTAGTGAAATCTTTTTCTACTTCTGCTTCTTTTTCTGCTAGTTCTCCTACTTTTGCCTTATCTTCTTCTAGTTCTACTCCCTCTTAATCTAGTATGCGCTTGCATTTTATCACCCATGGTTTTGTCTTTTTTTTTCTGGATATTAATAATTTTCCATAATATTACATAAACACAACATGCTTTATTGATCAAATAGAACTGCTGTGTGAAAGGTGGGCATTTGGAAGGGCTGAATGTAAGACGGGCCTGTGTGCCTAATTTGTGACCCTTTAAAAATAAAGTTTTTTCTTTCCTTTTTCTAGTTTTTCTACTTCTGCTTCTTCTGCTTCCACTTTTCTTCTTCTGGTTCTTCCACTTCTACTTGCTCTACTTCTACTTCTTCTGCTTCTAGTTTTTCTACTTCTTTCTTTTCTACTTCTTTTTCTATATCTTCTTCTACTACTTTTGCTTCTTCTACATTTTCCACCTCTTCTGTTTCTGATTTCTCTACTTTTTCTTCTTTATCTTCTAGTTCTTCTATGTCTACCTCTTCTGCTTCTACTTTTCTACTTCTACTTCTCATCCTCTTATTCTTCTTCTATTTCTACATCTTCTTATACTCCTTCTCCCTTTTCTGCTTATACTTCTATATCTACTTCATCTACTTTTACTTCTTTTTTTACTTTATCTACTTCTCCCACTTCTGCCTCATCGTCTTCTTCTTAATCTACTTTTTCTACATTTACTACTTCTACTTTTTGTGTGTGTTTTGCCCCTAAAAGATTGGTTAGCACATTGTATTTTAGTTTAATTTGCCCTTTTGGCCTAACAAATCAGAATTCAGCAGATCCCTAATATGTCGCCTTGTACAACATGCTTATTAATGAGCTGTCAGTTCTCCCCCCCCCCCTTTTCCTGAAAAAAATGGGGCTCCGGCAGCCACATGGGGATTTAGTGAATTCATGTGGGCTGGTTGGCTTCATGGATGTATCTCAGTATTTGTCTTTATGTTGTATTTTCTTTGAATATAGGAAAATAAATGAACTGAACATGTTGTTTATTAGTTTTTGGTTTTTTTAATCAGAGTCTGCAATGTTTCCAGCATCAATAACCAGATCTCCTTGCAACAGTATTCCAGGGCTGTCCAAGCCAAAATCAAGGACCCAAATATAACCTTGGATGGTGTTAATGCTCTGGTCAGACAATTTATTCAGTATGTGTACTTGTATAGTTTGTAATTATTGCTCCTTTTTCTACTCTGGAATGTAGAGATTTGCTTTTGTTGACCAGGGTATGTAGAGGTTGTTTCTTGTAGTCAAAAGGCCACTGTAGGCAAACGTGTGTGTGTGGGGGAGGGGGTGGTTAATAAATATTACAGTAAAATGCAAAAGTCAAAAGAGCTTTCAGAAGCTTACAACATTTATGGCAGTCTAAGGATATTAAACCATTGATAATTGGCATCATGAGAGCTGATAGACTGAAATGGTTGGGGCATATTGAGAGAATGTCAGATGACAGAGAAGTGAAAACTGTATACACAAGGGAGATGATTGGTCGTAGACCACCAGACAGACCTGCATACACTTGGTGTTACCAACTGGAAAGGAAAGACCGACCTGTAGCAATGAACCTCAAGGGCTGGGAATGCAGAAGAAGAAGAAGAAGGATATTAAAAATAGTGCCAGACTAAGAAGAAAAATATGCTAATTTTTAAAAATATTATTGGACAATGGTATCATCACAGAGAAACCACATCTTTAATTGTACAATTTTTGGTAAACAGTGCAAAAAAAACGTAATTATTTCCTTTCCTTTACTTATAATTGTATGTTTTCTAAATAAGTAATGGAACTGGCTCATAAACAGAATCCTTCCCCACAGTTGAGATATTTTGGCCATGTTTAGTGTCGTAGTGGCCTAGAGAGAACGGTGATGGAAGGGACAGTTTCTGGAAAATGATGTAGAGGCAAAGCTCAGAGAATGTTAATCTAAGGCATTGAAGATGCATTGGCTGTGAAAGCACATAGGGCTGCATAATTGGCAAGAGAAAGAGAGACTTTCAGGCGTGCTGTAACTAGAGTAATGTTCTGTAAAGGACGTACTGATTGATGATGAAATACTTAAAGCATGTCAATGTTTCATGATGAAACCTCATTCTCCATATCTTACAATCTTCAAAGCAGTTTGTGTCCTAACACTTGTCCGTGCTGTAATAAAAAGCTGTCACAAATCTTGTTTTGCTGTACACACTAAAGGAGAAAAGAACGGAGAACAAAGCCCAAGTTCAACCTCCATATTTGTGGCTATTCCTCAGGGCAGCTCAAGCCAACAAACATCTGGAGCAAGGCTTTGACAACTCTGCTTACGGCATGTCCAAGATAGCTGTAACCCTCATGACCTCTATTCAGCAGAAAGAGCTGGATAAGAAAAATGCTGATGACGTTGTTGTAAATTCTGTAAGTTTTTACAGCCAATGTGATATTGTATGAACCTGACGTTTTAAGAAATCAGCTTTATAATCATCATACTGAGAACATATATCCTCATACCAGTTCTGGCACCCCATTTTGTGGGAGAAAATATCCTCATACGAGTCCTGACACCCCATTTTGTGGGAGAAAATATCCTCATACGAGTCCTGACACCCCATTTTGTGGGAGAAAATATCCTCATACGAGTCCTAAAATCCCATTTTGTGGGAGAAAATATCCTCATACGAATCCTGACACCCCATTTTGTGGGAGAAAATATCCTCATAGGAGTCCTGACACCCCATTTTGTGGGAGAAAATATCCTCATAAGAGTCCTGACACCCCATTTTGTGGGAGAAAAAGAATAAACCCACTGCCCCCAAGAAGCATGTCCTAAAAGGTGACCAATTATGGGTTTGCAAGGTGCAGATATTACAGCCTAGCTGTAAATCACACTATGTACCAGCCACTATTTTAAGAAGAATATAATCTCTTAACCATCTTGATAATACACACACTCATACAAATATTTGATACACATCAGTAAAGAGGCAAGACTGCAGCATTTGTGGGCCCAAAGAAGAGAAAAAAAGCTGATTAAAAGTGAGAGAATCACCTTCATTCCATTAATATTTAATCTTCTCTGATCAACCTCCAGTCAGAGATTTGTACCCCACCAATCTCGTGACACCAGAGGCTCCCTAGAGCATTCCAGTGCCCTCCAGGGAAATCAGGGAAGGATATCACTAAGTTTATGACACTTTAATCTGATGATACAAATGTCTAATGCATTGTTTAGTAGAGACTGACTTTTTATGAACCGGTCTTGAAGTCTAACAAACTTATGATGCATTGTTTGGTAGGGACTAACATTTTTTGAAACTATCTTAATGTCTAACAAACTTGTGATGCATTGTTTGATAGAGACTAATATTTTATGACACTGTCTTAAAGTCTAACAAACTTGTGATGCATTGTTTGCTAGAGACTGACATTTTATGAAACTGTCTTGAAATCTAACAAACTTATAATGCATTATTTGGTAGGGACTAACATTTTATGAAACTGTCCTAAAGTCTAACAAACTTGTGATACATTGTTTGATAGAGACTGACATTTTATGAAACTGTCTTAAAGTCTAACAAACTTATGATGCATTGTTTGGGAGGGATTGACATTTTATGAAACTGTTGTAGTCTAACAAATTTATGATGTATTGTTTGGTAGAGACAGAGTTGATTATATCACCCACTTTATGAAACTGTTGTAGTCAAAGAAATTTATGATGTATTGTTTGGTAGAGACAGAGTTGATGATATCCCCCATTTTATGAAACTGTTGTAGTCTAACAAATTTATGATGTATTGTTTGGTAGAGACAGACTTGATGATATCACCACTTTATGAAACTGTTGTAGTCTAACAAATTTATGATGTATTGTTTGGTAGAGACAGACTTGATGATATCACCACTTTATGAAACTGTTGTAGTCTTACAAATTTATGATGTATTGTTTGGTAGAGACAGACTTGATGATATCACCCACTTTATGAAACTGTTGTAGTCTAACAAATTCATGATGTACTGTTTGGTAGAGACAGAGCTGATGATATCACCACTTTTATGAAACTGTTGTAGTCCAACAAATGTATGATGCATTGTTTAGTCCTGCTGCCACTGTTTTCTCCCTTCTGAGCTTCTACCTGAAGGTTTGATACCCTGAGATTAGACAGTCTGTCTGGACGGCAGACTTACAGGACAAATTACAGATACCCTGAAGATACACAGTGTCTGGACGGCAGACCTACAGGACAAATTACAGATACTCTGAGGATACACAGTGTCTGGACGGCAGACCTACAGGACAAATTACAGATACTCTGAGGATACACAGTGTCTGGATGGCAGACCTACAGGACAAATTACAGATACTCTGAGATTAGACAGTGTCTGGACGGCAGACCTACAGGACAAATTACAGATACTCTGAGATTAGGCAGTCTGTCTGGACGGCAGACCTACAGGACAAATTACAGATACTCTGAGATTAGACAGTCTGTCTGGACGGCAGACCTACAGGATAAATTACAGATACCCTGAGGATACACGGTGTCTGGACAGCAGACCTACAGGACAAATTACAGATACTCTGAGGATACACAGTGTCTGGACGGCAGACCTACAGGACAAATTACAGATACTCTGAGGATACACAGTGTCTGGACGGCAGACTTACAGGACAAATTACAGATACCCTGAGGATACACAGTGTCTGGATGGCAGACCTACAGGACAAATTACAGATACCCTGAGGATACACAGTGTCTGGACGGCAGACCTACAGGACAAATTACAGATACCCTGAGGATACACAGTGTCTGGACGGCAGACCTACAGGACAAATTACAGATACTCTGAGGATACACAGTGTCTGGACGGCAGACCTACAGGACAAATTACAGATACTCTGAGGATACACAGTGTCTGGACGGCAGATCTACAGGACAAATTACATATACTCTGAGGATACACAGTGTCTGGACGGCAGACCTACAGGACAAATTACAGATACTCTGAGATTAGACAGTCTGTCTGGACGGCAGACCTACAGGATAAATTACAGATACCCTGAGGATACACAGTGTCTGGACGGCAGACCTACAGGACAAATTACAGATACTCTGAGGATACACAGTGTCTGGACGGCAGACCTACAGGACAAATTACAGATACTCTGAGGATACACAGTGTCTGGACGGCAGACTTACAGAACAAATTACAGATACCCTGAGGATACACAGTGTCTGGACCGCAGACCTACAGGACAAATTACAGATACCCTGAGGATACACAGTGTCTGGACGGCAGACCTACAGGACAAATTACAGATACCCTGAGGATACACAGTGTCTGGATGGCAGACCTACAGGACAAATTACAGATACCCTGAGGATACACAGTGTCTGGACGGCAGACCTACAGGACAAATTACAGATACTCTGAGGATACACAGTGTCTGGACGGCAGACCTACAGGACAAATTACAGATACTCTGAGGATACACAGTGTCTGGACGGCAGACCTACAGGACAAATTACAGATACCCTGAGGATACACAGTGTCTGGACGGCAGACCTACAGGACAAATTACAGATACCCTGAGGATACACAGTGTCTGGACGGCAGACCTACAGGACAAATTACAGATACCCTGAGGATACACAGTGTCTGGACGGCAGACCTACAGGACAAATTACAGATACCCTGAGGATACACAGTGTCTGGACGGCAGACCTACAGGACAAATTACAGATACCCTGAGGATACACGGTGTCTGGACGGCAGACCTACAGGACAAATTACAGATACCCTGAGGATACACGGTGTCTGGACGGCAGACCTACAGGACAAATTACAGATACTCTGAGGATACACAGTGTCTGGACGGCAGACCTACAGGACAAATTACAGATACCCTGAGGATACACAGTGTCTGGACGGCAGACCTACAGGACAAATTACAGATACCCTGAGGATACTCAGTGTCTGGACGGCAGACCTACAGGACAAATTACAGATACTCTGAGAATACACAGTCTGTCTGGACGGCAGACCTACAGGACAAATTACAGATACTCTGAGAATACACAGTCTGTCTGGACGGCAGACGTGCAGGGCAAATTACAGATACCCTGAGGATACACAGTGTCTGGACGGCAGACCTACAGGACAAATTACAGATACCCTGAGAATACACAGTCTGTTTGGATGGCAGACGTGCAGGGCAAATCATAGATACCCTCAGGTTACACAGTCTGTCTGGATGGCAGACTTTCAAAGAGGTTATAACTGGGCCACCTGAAGTAGCTACACAAGACAAATAACAGCTGCAGTCCTTTGTGGGTAAGGGAATGTTTTTGTTTTTGTGTGTGTGTTGTCAACATTACTTGATAGATAGATTTAGATTTTATAATGTGATCTCAAAATTGTTAACTCTTTTTGCCCCAACCAATGTGCTGTGTGTGATCAGCTATCATCAGTGAGTATCAAGCATTGATCAGTGTGTGATTATTTATTTTACATTTGGTTTGAGCTCACTTAAGAAATCTGGCTAGATATGCTAACAGAGCACAGTATATTTGTTTCTTTGAAAGTAATACACCATGCTTTTTTGTTGTGTCTATTATCTCCTTAAATATTTAAACTATAATATTCTTGTAAAGAAAAGAGTTAACCCTCTGTTTCAGTGTTGTCCAGGTGTAGTGGTGACTGACTTGTGGACTGGGTCAGGAGTGTCTATTGATAAAGGTAAACATTACAAACCATAACAATAAACATTAGAGATCAATAAACATTACAAACCATAACAATAAACATTACAAGTCATAACATTATAGACGAGATGTCTTTGAAGAGTTGCTGCGGTTAAAAAGAAGAGATAAAATTTAAAAAGAAGGAATTAGAAGAAGACTGCGACTGAAACCACTCATACAGTTCAGTAAAGAACAACAGATGAGATGGTTTGGCCATCTAACGACAATGCCCTGGTACCACCATAGAGAATCATGTTAAAGAAATACAGTGAACACAGATCAAGGGGAAGACCATCCAAAATATGGAATGCCAGCATCAAGAACAGCCTCAAAGAAATGAAGATCAATGTATACAACACATGAGAAAGAGCACGCAGAACATCCTTACATCTCCCCCAACACTTTGACAATGAGAAATATTTAGTGTGGTCTTCACTGACCCAGGAATGAAACGATTATGGAATAAACTGTTGCCAGGAAGTTGGACCAAACTATCCCCATCTGAGTTCTGGAAACCCATTTTTGGTAACAAAGAAAAGACCTACTGTTCTTTAACAGGCATATTGTAAAAAGGCAGCTATTTAAGGATTTGCTCAAACAAGATGTGTTAGGCCAAAGTGCACAGATGTCACTGCCTAGCTGTAAACCACAACACAGTGTGCTTTCCCCTTTTTAACGGGGAAGGCAGAGAAAAAAAGAAAGAATTGACTAATATGTTTTTGAATTGGAATAGCCATCCAACATGGTGAAATTTCTTATTCTTCTTCCTTTCATCTTCCAGTTTTCCTGTTTGAGTTCTGGGGCACCATTTGTGATGGCTAATTAAAGATGATTTTCTAAGTCAAAGTGTATTTGCCTGAGAGGCGAGAAGCTAACAGTCTGCATACAAATAAACCAGATCTGTAGAACAGATGTGCACATAAAACTCAAGTTCTTAAACAAGAGCAAAGTCCAAACAACCTCCGTGATAATAGTCGTAATTTCACAGCAAGAGTTCCCCAATTAATATGTTGTTTATAACCATAGGGAATATATTGCATTAATACACAACTCTGTTCATGTTTATTGATTACGGCCGTCATATATCTTTATATATTTTGAAAAAAACGTAGATAAATTAATACATTTTTTATGAATCTGTTGGTTGTTGTTGTTGTTATCGATCCAGCGGCGCATGAGCTTTCGTCCTTTGGCCCAATGCCATGTAGTGGAATTTGCATGTTTTCACAAGCTGTTCTTTTCCTCCGTACAAGGTGTTCCACTTGTCTGGTCTCAGAGGGAGTAGCATTCTTCTAGTCTCGCTGAGTTTTGGGCACTCAAAGAGATGGTGTTCAACAGTTTCGTAGGGGTAGTAACATAGCTGGCACTCTGGGGAGTGTTGTGGCTGAATTCTGTTTAGATGTCCATTGAGTGGAGTGTGTTGCGTTCTGAGTCTGAAGATGGTGGCCTGGTCCCTTCTTGTTAGATGGTTAACGCTGTCATTAGGATCAGGGCCAGCCATGTGTCTATAAACCTCTCTTGCAGTGTCTCCCATGGCCCATCTGTTCAACCAAATCTGTTGGTGACCTGTGTAGAAAAAATATTTTAATAGATTTTTCTTGAATTCCAATAAGATCGTGACCCCAACTTTTTTATTTTTTGGGTAGTTTTCTTGGGCAGGAGTGTTAAATTCATTCCAAAAATCACCAAACGGGAAAGACTTGTCTAGTGCAGTGGTTCACGACCCCTTTGGGGGGTCAAATAACTCTTTCAGAGGGATCGCCTAAGACCATAAAAAAAAAACATTCACTGAAGTTATGAAGTAGCGATGAAAATAATTTTATGGTTGGGGATCACCACAGTACAAGGAACTGTATTAAAGGGTCACGGCATCAGGAAGATTGGGTTGAGAACAACTGGTCTAGTGTAACCTGTTCTTTATTCACATTAACAGTTTACCGTGTGCACATTGTAGTTAATAGTGTAATGCTAATCATAGGCATCGTTTTTTTTTTGGTATTTGCAGGAGCCAAGACTCCCTTGTACTGTGCTCTGCTTCCCCCAAATGTAAAAACTCCTCGGGGAAAATTTCTCATCAATAATAAGATTTACGACTGGCTGAATGTGTAAAATATTTGTTTCATCAATAAACATTTCTTTTTCATATAAGTGTCTTTTTTTAAAGTCTGGTCTTGGCGTCTTCTTTTCATGACTTTGTGTGTATGAGCGTGTGTGTGTATGTGGTTGGTCTTTGCTTTATTTTGTTAGTGTCTTTTTGTGTCTGGTCTTGGCTCTTTCTTATAAGTGTTTTTTTTTCTGTCTTGTCTTGACTATCTTATAAGTGTCTTTTTAAATCTTGTCTTGGCTTTATCTTATAAGTGTTGTTTTTTTGTCTCGTCTTGGCTTTATCTTATAATTGTTTCTTTTTATATCTTGTCTTGGCTTTATTTTATAAGTGCCTTTTTGTATCAGATTTTCGCTTTGTTATAAGTTTCTTGTTTGTGTCTGATCCTGGTTTTTTTCATTTGCTAAGTGTCTTTTTGTGTCTGGTCTTGGCTTTGCCTGGGGAGATGAAGACACAGTTATTGCTAAAAGATGAGCTTGGAGGCAGGAAAGGTATGATTTCTGAGACTAATGTTGCTAAACCTTGGACTGCCGTATTTGGAAAAAAAGTTTGTAAAACTGGGTTTGAGTTGAAGCAGATTTGTAAAAATTAACCTAGGCTTACAAATTTGTATAGAGCAGAGTCATATGACACAATTTTGAAGACAGCAGAGAAACAGAGTTAGAGCCAAGAACAAAATTCATAATCTGTTCAAATTACTTATCATCATCATCCTCATTATGTGCCCTGCCAACTGGTGTAGGCACTCTTGCGTCTCCACAGATCACGATCCCTGGTTCCAGCTCTCTTGATGATATCCCTCCATGCCATCGTTTCAACCCATCCAGCATCATCTCTCTTGGTCTGCCTCTACATCTTTTTCCACGGATCTTTCCAGTTGTCACAATGTTCTCCAATGTCTCTCTTCTCATTATGTGGAGAAAGAACAGTGTTTGTCTCTTTCTTATTGTTGTCTGTGTTTTCTCATGAGTTTTCTTAGGAAAATAATGTGGTGGTTTCCACATCCACATGGGGTATTTTAACCTGCACCTTTGACAGTAATTTCCGACTGTCTGGACAAGTGGGTCCCCTACTCTGTTCAGCTGCGGAGTGATCCACTTATTCCGGTAGATACTCGGTCCTTATATCTGCCTTAGCCACACCATTGTGTGTTTCCCACCCTCCACCACTTGGAGGTGCAGTTTGTGATTTTCCCTTTCATCAAATTTGAGACCAGGATTACTAGTAGGGCTAAGTACAATTTTTAATGTTTCTGTTTAAACAGCGGATCAGCATAATGGCACAAGGGTAGTAACCCATAAGTGCTCCGTTCTATGTTAACTCAAGCCTGAGTCTGAAGAATCTCAGCGCAGTGCACGAACTTCGTAGCACCAGCGAGGATCCTGAAATACTTTCAGGTAGATTTTTAACTCAAAATTTTGCCCGGGCAGTGCCAATGGATTTTTTTCGAGCACGGCAATACACACGGGCATCCGATCTTACCACCCAGAGACCAGGGAAAATTATTAGAAGTCCACATGAAAAAATCCTAGCCTTTATCAGGGTCTGAATCCGGGACCTCCAGCAATCGAGGCAGAACTTTAACTCTAGAACATAAAGTGTCGGTATTCACCACAAAGTGTCTTAAATTGTGCCAGTACTCAGCACAAAGTGTCTAATACAGTAGAACTTAAACAAACATTATGCCTTAAAAAAAGTGCTGGTACTTGGTACGGTTGTGTTCTGCCAGAAAAAAAAAAAAACCTGCTTGCATATACTCGCTTAAACAACACTTAGGACCTCATCACACAGAACATTTTTATGGACCCGAAACAAGCCCGCTCCCCAATGTTTTCTGTGCATAGGCGCCCCTGGAGAAAGGCTTGATTGCTTGCAGAAGAGACGGAGAGTCACCAACAGGCAGCGAAATGCGATAAGAGGGACTGAGGAAACGAGCACATCAAGAAAAACAGAAAGGCGAACATTGATGAGATGCGGCCACCCGTCTGCTGTGATGTTGGAATCTCGACGAAGGACTAACTGAACTTTTTATATACATATACTTACTTGCCCAAACAAGGCTTAGGAGCCCGCTAACCTGCCACCAAAGGTGCTGGACTAGATTCCATCCATGATATTGAAGTGACAGGGATAGAACCGAATGGAGAAACGGACTGCAAGTGCTATGTGACATATAATGGCACAGTGTGGCAATGAATTATGGGAACATAAAATGGGATAAATAAATGCAAGGAGACCAGGAAATAAGAGAAATGTCAGGTAAGCCGCTGGTGGTATCGACAAGTTACAACACAAAGATAATGGCCCACATTATCACGGACCCCACATACACACTGGACTACGTATTACTTCGTGCTTGTTTCGGGTTTCCTCAATATGTTTGTTTGTTGTTTGTTTTAGTATCCAGAAGCCATGAGTTGTTAACCCTTTGGCTCGGTATTATGGATATCGCAACCTTTCGGCCTTGAATCCATTGTAAATACCGTAAATCTGGGAGAAATGTAACTTTCCTGCCTACCCCCGGGATTGAACCCGGACCACAAGGAGTTCGTCACCCGGTCTCCGCGCAATCCGGTTTAGCCAACAACGCTAGAGAGCCGGGTGGTTACCTCGGTATTACGGTGCTATATGGTCGAACAGGGTTTCCAAGATTTGTACTTCTGTGATTCTCATCCTTGAGATGGTAATCCTACAGACTTCAATCTTGTAAAATAATCAGAAAAAAAGTATTAAAAAAACTGGGGGGCGTGGGGGGGGGGGGGGGGGGGTGGGGGGGGGGTGGGGGGGGGGGGGGGGTGGGGGGGGGGGGGGGGGGGGGTGGGGGGGGGGGGGGGGGGGGGGGGGGGGGGGGGGGTTCCGTAAAATTAAAGGCTGTTAGATTAGATGCCCGAGGATAGCTACTTTATCATCCGAAGCGTGTGAGTAATTGTAGCAGACTAGATTTGAGAAACAACGCATTACATTCATTGAGAAGCAGAAGATCGAATGGTTTGGTCATCTACTTAGGCTCCAGACACAACTACCAACATAGGCGCTAAACATACAAGATCTGATAGAACAAGAAGGCGCAAAAAAAGGGGTGGTGTGGAATGATGGCATAAAAGATATTCCACCTGTCATTACTCGGATGAGAATCCCCCTGTGCAAAAGTAAGAAATTCCGTTCAGTTGGGACCCTCTGACGGTTCCAAGTGGGGTAGGGTATGATTGCATAGGGGCCTATGTCATGTTATTAAATAAATGACTGACTGACGTTCAACCCCATCAGGACCGCCCGCACAGCGAGGGATAAACACCTGGTACGCAAAGTGCCACCATTTTAATGAAAAGCGCCCATTCGCAAGCTTTAAAATAACAAATAATTGCGCCCGCCCATATTGGGGTGGGTTACATAACGAATTAAGTCATTCAACACATGTAGATTTGTATTTAATCAACAAAGGCAGAGGTTAATAACGAAACCATGTAACCGGAAGTGACCTTTCACTTGTGAACTCTCACCTCCCAGTCGGTCTTGACGTCTGCTTGATTTTCGTGCTGGCAATCACAGACAGAGATGAAAGTTGATCTTTTATTGAGTGGTCTTACTGTTGCAGCAATACACTAACTATTGCATAGACGCAGTATTCATATTTAGCAGTTTGCGGTAAGAATAATACAAGAGAGTTAATATATTGATATTTTCCTGACTGTTTTAACTTCGCTTATTTTATTTACCTGTGAAGACTAAGTAAGTCTTTGTCAAATTTACAAGAACGGATCTGAACACAAACTTCATGTCGACTATATGTCCCTTTATAGAGACTACTTCTTTATCTTTCTATGGTGCGGTTCATTTCTTATGTATTTAATATATCTACGGTCTCCTGTGTTCCCCACCTGTTTATTTATATGAATTGAATTGCTTTTGCAAAGTGTTAATTAAAAAAAAAATTAAATTAGCGCAAATTATTCAGGTAATTTAAGTGGCTTTTATTGAATAAGTATATGCGAACATTTTTTGTGTGTATGGATTTAATTTGTGTTTATTATTGCATATAAATTTTATTTTTTATTTAATTATATTAGTTGCCACTATGGTGAAGCCGATAGACCCTTGCCTGCGGATACAAAGGTCGTGGGTTCAGGCCATGACAGAGCTGGATTTTTTCAACAATAGTCGACCCAGTTTAAGTCCTGGGAAGTAAAGTTGGTTGGTGTAATGTTGACCACATCAGCCACTGAGCGCCAAATGGTCTGCAAAACATCATCATCATCATCAGGTGCCTTGCCGACTGGTATGGGCGATCATGCCTCTCCATAATATGCGATCTCCTGCAGCATGTATCAGTTTGTGTGCTGACACACCTCCATGACATGCAACAAGACTGTCAAGAATCTTCTCTCGTTGTCTTCCTTTATCTCTCCTTCCACAGATCTTTCCAGTGGTCACAACATGTTCTATTTTCCCTCTTCTCATAACATGGCCGAAAAATTATGACTGTCTCCTTCTGATGTCTGTGATAAGTTGTCTTCGGGCTCCCGCCTTTTTCAAAACCTCTTGGTTGCACTTTTTGGCTGTCCAAGGTATTCTAAGCATTCTTCTGTAAAACCACATCTCTAAGGCCTCAAGAAATTGTTTGGCCTGCCTACCGATTGTCCAGGATTCACAACCATATGTTAAAACTGGATGTATTTAGCAAGCAAGAATTCTTTTTCTAACTCTCAATGACAAGGAAATATTGCACAAGATGTTTTTCATTTTATAAAATGCAGTTTTTGCCTGTCCTATTCTGTTTCATTCTTATCTCAGTTATGCATCTTCCATCTGAAGTTATCCATGTGCCCAGATACTTAAATTTCTGTACTTGCCCTAAAATAACACCATCGACTATTATTACACATTTAGAAATAATTTGATTCTTTGATACTGCAAAACATAGGTCTAGATTTAAAAAAAAAGTGTGTTGCAGCAGTGCTAACAAAATCAAAAAACAATGATACATATAAAAGCATTGATCCACTGC